AGATCCATCAGGTGTAACGTTATTATATGATGGAAACAACCGGGCCTGGCCTGACGCTGACCTCGCCGCTGACCTGCAGCCATTAGCATCTTAATGCTGCTTGGCCTAAACTCCTAAACTCTCTGAGGTCAGAAAGTTCCGAAAGCGAAAGTCAAATCGTTCTGACCGGGAAGTGAGGAGCTTTTTCTGAAAGGATGGAAAACAGAAAACATGAAGTCATCCGATGACCTTTCCATGGCGGCGCGTCGGGGTCATTCTGCAGAAACAGATTTCCTCCACAAGACGCAGAAACGTTCCAGAGAAAAACCTTCAGCTTCAAACTGAAACGTTGAACGTTAGCTTGAAAAAAAACTCTGAGATTTTGGGATTAATCTCAGAAATGTCCAGAAAATCTTGGAAAGTTTGAAAAAATTGACGTGAAAATTAAACATTTTTATGTTTCAAAATCACAAATTTCAAACTTTATTCTGAAGTTTTTCTCGACCAGATTTTTTATTTTTGAAAATGTCTGAGAAAAATCTCAACACTTCTCAGATTTCTTAAACTTTCCAGATTTTTCTATCAATTATTTTTACTTTTCAACTCAGAAAGTTTCGTACTTTTCTAGGGAAGAACGTAATTATCTAGGAGAGGCAACAGAAAATGACGTGTTTTTGATTCTGGATTGTTGAAACAAAACGTTTCTCATTTGGTGCTGATGCTGAAGAAACAGAAACAGGACTGGACCTGGATCTGGACCTGGACCTGGACCTGGACCTGGATCTGGACCTGGACCTGGACCTGGACCTAGACCTGGACCTGGACCTGGACCTGGATCCGGACCTGGACCTGGACCTGGACCTGGAACTGGAACTAGATCTGGATCTGGTTCTGGACCTGGTTCTGGATCTGGATCTGGCTCTGGATCTGGACCTGGACGTGGACGTGGACCTTGTTCTGGTTCTGGTTCTGGTTCTGGACCTGGTTCTGGTTCTGGCTCTGGTTCTGGCTCTGGATCTGGATCTGGTTCTGGTTCTGGTTCTGGTTCTGGCTCTGGATCTGGACCTGGTTCTGGTTCTGGCTCTGGTTCTGGCTCTGGACCTGGTTCTGGTTCTGGCTCTGGACCTGGTTCTGGTTCTGGTTCTGGCTCTGGCTCTGGATCTGGACCTGGTTCTGGATCTGGACCTGGTTCTGGTTCTGGCTCTGGTTCTGGCTCTGGATCTGGACCTGGTTCTGGTTCTGGTTCTGGCTCTGGCTCTGGATCTGGACCTGGTTCTGGTTCTGGTTCTGGCTCTGGATCTGGAGCTGGTTCTGGTTCTGGCTCTGGATCTGGACCTGGTTCTGGTTCTGGATCTGGACCTGGTTCTGGTTCTGGACCTGGACCTGGTTCTGGTTCTGGTTCTGGCTCTGGCTCTGGACCTGGTTCTGGTTCTGGTTCTGGCTCTGGTTCTGGATCTGGACCTGGTTCTGGTTCTGGTTCTGGATCTGGATCTGGTTCTGGTTCTGGCTCTGGTTCTGGCTCTGGATCTGGACCTGGTTCTGGTTCTGGATCTGGACCTGGACCTGGTTCTGGTTCTGGATCTGGACCTGGTTCTAGTTCTGGTTCTGGATCTGGATCTGGATCTGGACCTGGTTCTGGTTCTGGCTCTGGTTCTGGCTCTGGTTCTGGATCTGGACCTGGTTCTGGTTCTGGTTCTGGCTCTGGTTCTGGATCTGGACCTGGTTCTGGTTCTGGCTCTGGATCTGGATCTGGATCTGGATCTGGACCTGGTTCTAGTTCTGGTTCTGGATCTGGACCTGGACCTGGTTCTGGTTCTGGCTCCCTGCCTCCATCCTGCAGAGCCGTTGAGTTATGACGTTTCTGGCGTTCTGCTCCTGTCCGCCTCGCTGCCTCTCACCTCCAGCGGCGCCATAAAGTCACTTCCAGACATAAATCACTGGAATCCTGCAGAAGTCAGGAAACTTTGTGAATGAACGGCTTTATTGCAGGATATTTTCTGCTTCCTACTTTAGGAAACATGAGATCTCAGTGAGTGGATGGAAAATAAACCAGATGAGATTTTGCTGAACTGGATCCTTTTGGGTTTTTATGGTTCTGTTGTGACATTTAAGTGCTTTTGAATAAATACAGTCATTTAATGTTGGAGCATCTGGTTTACAGGAAGCTCCTTTACTTTAATAAATAAATACATTGAAGACATGTTGGGTCAGTAGAGTCACTGACTCCAGCAGTAACTTGACCTCAGTGTCATTAATTCATTTCAACTGTTAATAAATACATGAGATCAGATCAGCCTGACAAAGCCTGGAATGCAGGAGGATGGATGAGGATGGATGAGGATGGATGAGGAGCAGGAGGATGGATGAGGATGGATGAGGATGGATGAGGATGGATGAGGATGGATGAGGAGCAGCATTCGGCCCTTTTGCGCCTCATTGACTTGATGGGAAGCTAATAAACGCCATATGACAACAGAATACTAAGGGAGCAATTATTATTCAAAAATATTCCGGCGCTGCGGGGAGCAGAGACCCTGCAGGAAGGAGAACTGACAGCAGAAACACATCCTGATTAACCTTCAACCGGAGCGGAGCACACAGAGTCCGGTCCGGTCCGGTCCGGTCCGGTGTCCCGCAGCCTGACAGCAGATAAATAACAAGACACAAGAATAACAGAACAGCAGAGAGACTGGAAGATAAACACTTCCTGTTTACATGGATGGATGGATGGATGGATGGATGGATGGATGATGGATGGATGGATGGATGGATGGATGGATGGATGGATGGATGGATGGATGGATGGATGGATGGATGGATGGATGGATGGATGGATGGATGGATGGATGGATGGATGGATGGATGGATGGATGGAAGGAAGGTGTTGCGGTAACACCTGTCTGCCCGACTCTGATGGCGTCGGGTCGTTTGCAGTGAGTGGCTGGCGGCCCGACGGGCCCAGAGCAGAACCTGGTCGTTTCCAGTTCCATCAGGAACATTAATAACTGGATTTTCTGCAAATCAAACATGGAGGATCTGCTCTCCTGTGGCTCCTTGTGATCCTTCACCTCCTGCTTCGGATCGAAGAGCTGCTGACGTCACGGACTCCGGGTTCTCCTTCAGGTGTTCAGTCCAATTAGGAAGTTAATCTCAAGCTGCTCCTTATCACTGCTGCAGATTTAATTAGGAGATTCTTTCTAATTAAAGCAACAGATGATTCTCTTACATGCTGTTTGAGTTGAGAACATAATGAGGTTTAAGCAGCTAAAGTATGTAAGTGTGCCGTGAAAATTGCTAATTATTAATTCTATATCAGCTCAACAACATTATCAGAAGATAAGGTGTTTGAAAGCTCAGTAGTTCGGCTGCAGCAGCAGGAATTGATTCATTTTTTGGTGATTTATCTACTTGTCATTGGATAATCAGGTTTCATAAATCTCCAGTGGTGTTTTAGGTTTCTGATGAGGTAATGCTCGTCTAATGCACAAGATTTTCAACTAAATATTTTCATGAATACTCCATATCTTCTAAAAACACAGATATTTCTATTTAAGAGTTTTCAACCTGATCGTCCAGTAGATTGAGTTTAATTGGTGACCAAAGCTGAAATATTTGTCACACTTTCAGCTGCTGCGGTTCTCTTTCACACTGAGCCAAACGAACCAGACCTTAAATTAAGGCAAGTTCCTGGGGGTTACAAATGGTTTCATTTAAACTTCATTACACAAATATCACCACTTTTTGTCTGATAGTTTTACTATCATTACATTGATTGAGTCAAATAATACAGAAAATATTTAAAAAGTGACCAATTTCCCTTTGAGAATGTTGGATATTAAGATGAAAATGGAGGGAATTAATTTTTTATTTTCCATTCACTGCTGGGGCTCCCTCTGGTGGTGGACGGCGGTACTACAGAATATTCATTCAATACATGTTTAATTTGTTCATAACTGATAATTGTCACCAAAATGGCTCCTGAACATGAACGCATAAAAACAGAGAACTATAGTAATTACTGAGGCCACATTCGAAATGTAATAAACATTTGCTAATTATTTAGTTTGAAGCTAAATATTCAATTTGATCACTAAATATTACTAAAATTTAGTATTTAAGCTAAAAAACTATATTAATCTGTAGCTAAGTATTTTATTTCTAAACTATATTTAGTTTGCTAATGTAATTTGGAGCTAAACTTTTAGGTCTTATTAAATATTTAGTTTGAAACTGTGACATTTATGATGGAATAACAATCTGTAATTGTAGGCTAAAAAAACCACATTCCTGCTGTTCATTTTTATCCATCTTCATCTATGCTGCATTGTTTCATTTGTGATACAGATTTATACCTCAGCAGTTCGCTGGACCTGGTGGATTTTAACCTTATCTTCTCCATTTCTCCCTGTTTTTCCAGAAAAGTCATCCTGAGGCAGAAATCTGATCCTGTCAGAGCCGACGTCTGTCTGGCAGCTCATCTACCAGAGGTCACCCAGAGGTCACCGCAGGTCCAAGCTGATCCTCCATCCTGCGGATATTAAGCCACTCTGAGGTCATTCACCCAGACTTTTTGTGTTTTCCTCTCAAAAATTAAAGTTTCTCACCATGTAGAAAAAAAACGTACGTTTTTATAGACTAAAATTTCCTGAGCTGAAGCTTGTCAGTGTAACTATTAGAACAAGTCTTATTTCATTATTACTACAGAATCCATTTCAGGTGAAAAAATATCTCGGGTTTCATTGTTGAAAATTTATTTTAATTCACTTTGCATGTGAAATATAAAAAAGGTCTTAAACTTTGGCCTTTTTAAAGGAAAAATATGCATTTTTTCACATTGTTGAGCCAATTATCATTGGCTAATCTCAGCAGCAACACAAAGTCATTTAGAGAAAGTTTGGACCCTCCTGGTATCAATTTACCAGGAGCATCTGGTCAAACGTCACATGAAGACCAGTGTTGAGCAGCAATGCTGAAGAGCTACAGCAGCAGATAATAATTAATGGAAGCTAGCGCTAATGCGTTAGCTAACGGCAGCTAGCTAACGCGTTAGCTTCCGTTAACTAACGTGTTAGCTTCCGTTAACTAGCTTCCATTCAAGTATCTACAACTACTTCGTGTTCTACAACCTTGGCTCATGTATTTATGTTTTCATCTTATTTTCAACTGCCCGTTTTGCATTTAGTTTCTCTGTTTCTCGTTTTGAAGAAAAAAAGAGGGAAAACGCAGACAGGAAACGGAAGTGATGCGCCAACAGGTTTCACCCACTTCAAAGTAAGAGCATGAATATAAACATGTAGCTACTGGCAGATTTATTAACATGCGATAATCAAAACTCAGGATGTTGAACCTTATTCAAATGAAAGTTTACAAAACAGTCTGGAATATTAGCAGTTGGAATTTACCCCGAAATATTAATTTAGGGGAAACTATGTGTGCTAATGCTGGCAAAGGTTTTTGCTAAAAGTTAGCATCCACTGAGCATTTTCAGATCCTGAACTAAACACCATGTCTAATTATTTCTTAATTTTAAAAACTGTTTCAGCTTTTCTTGACTGATTATAAGTAATAAAAAGCAACACCAGAGTTGTTTGGGTTTTTTCTTTATTTTTTTGCAGATTTTTCTTTGTATTTTCCTTTTTTTTTCCCCCTTTTTCTTGCTTTTGGCACTACATACTGACACATTAGGTTGTTTTAAAAACAAACATCTATTCGAAGCCTTCATCTTTCAGCAAGCAAAGTATGAATACAGCTAATAAAAATAAAGGTTTACAATTTATCCTCCTTACTTTACACGTAAAATAAAAACACTTTTTTTCAGACCCCCTCAAAAACGGGAGCATTAAAATATTTAACATTTGTATCACAAATCAATGTAATGAGACCCAAAAACTAAACCATAAAAACTGTACAAAAATGATAAAATTCATTTTTTTCTTCTTAAAATTGTCCATGTGATCAATTGATGCAAAGAGTACATTATTTTGCTCTATTACTGACCAAGAAATTTAATTAAAATCATTTCTTCTGCTGGATGTAATTCATGTTGACTGGATGCCGAACATGAGGAACCAGTGGGAAGTTCGGATTGGGATGCACCACAGAACCTTTAAAATAGGAGAACAGAATCAGTAAAACAGCTGGTTTCCCCTCCAGACCATTGATGTGAGCCCGATCCCGAGGTCCGACCTGGAGCCATGAAGGATTTCCCGGGCTGGAAGTCGCCGTTGCCCTGCTGGATGAAGTTCTGCGGCAACCTGTAGGGCCAGGATGGGGACAGGCTGAACTGGGGGGGTTTGTTGTGCTCCCACAGCCGCGAGCCTTGGCTCACACCTTCAAACTGCACTTGGTGGCCCGGTTCTGTGAAGAAAAACATTTAAAAATATGTTGACTTTTTATTTCTCAGACATTCCTGAAATTTCCTGCAGTGAACATCTGGATAATTCAGGAATGAAAGGAACAGTTTTATGTTTCTTTGATTCTTGCTTTAATTACAACACTGCAAAAAATCTAAATCTTACCCAGTATTTTTATTGAGTTTCTGGTGTAAATATCTTAGTACTGTTGAAATAACAAAACTTTTCAGGAAGATGTAGGAACTAGTTTTAGGTAAATAATTCCTCAGTATTGATGAAAATGTTCTTGTTCCACCGTCAAATTATTTCACTTGTGGGAAAAACGTTTTCTTATAGAAGCTGTAAAACGTGATGGTCAAACAAGATGGCCGCCCCCAGCGATGCAGCGTGACATCACACAAAGCTGATGATCAGTAGAGCAGGTTTGGAGCTTTAATTTTCCTTTTGCTGCACTGAATTAATAACTCCTTCATCTCCAGGTTTCATTTGGTTGACAGTCTTCCTCCGACGGCGGCGCAGTTCAAGGAATCGTCTTTTCGCCCTCCAGCGTTGTGTCCAAACAACAACATGCAGCAGCGCAGAGTCTACAGAAACTCCAGGCGTGAAAATCCTAATTTTACTAAAATTAAACCTTCAAATACTAAAAATCGGATGAATTGATCAAATCGACCCTAACCCTAACCCGGATTAAACCGGGCTGGTGTGAACGCACCGTTAGCATAACGGATGTTGCATTAGTATGAAGCTGCTGCTGAGTCAGCAAACAGAAAGTACCTGACTTCACCACCGTGCCGTTTCCCATCAGCGACCCCGGCTGCGCCATGTGGTTGTGCCACTGCCCGTCCCGACCCGCCGCCGCCATGCCCATCTGCCGCCCCGCTGCCGGCTGGGCGAAGATGATGCTCGGGTCGTTCAGGTTCACGGAGCCGCCGGCCGTTCCCGTGGGGCTGCCGTTCCCCGACACGGAGCGCAGGGCAAAGGTCAGGCCGGGCGGCGACGGGCCGCCGGCGGAGGACGAGGCGAGGACGGGGCCGTGGATGGGCCAGGAGGAGGAGGCGATGTGGGGCTGATGGGAGGGCAGCAGCCCCAGGGCACCGAGCGCGGCGGGGTGGAACTGACCCGGGTGGGAGGAGGGGAAGCTGAAGAGGGACAGCGGGACGCAGCCGGGTTTACTGTGGGACGTCTGGGGCGAGCCGGAGGACAGCGGGGAGCCGTGAGGGACGGCGGCGGGCTGCGGGGAGTAGGGCGGAGTCTGACGACTGTCCGACTGAAAGAACCAAAACAGAGAGACGTGGTAAATAAATGATAAAATAAACACTAATGTGATGGAGGCAGGAAGGAAAACAGCCGACTTCTGACAAAAAAAACCAAAACTATCAAGAAAAAACACGGGCATTTCTGAGTTTCAACAGTTGAACATTTTGGACTTTTCAAACTCAGAAAATGTCCAAAAACTTTCTACAAAATTTGTGATTAATTTCAAAATCTTTCTAGCAAGTTTTCAACTTTTTAAAAGCATAAATTCCAAGTTCTTCTATAAAATTTCTGAGATTAATCTAAAAGTTTAAGTTTCTTTTTTTATGTAACATTTTTATATAACATATAAAATATAAGATGAGAAGTGATCCAAACAAATCTAGTGAGATAAAGGACCATCCAGCTCAAATTAAATCCTTAAACACAAGAAAGCCATTTAGAAATTTCTTAAAAATGTTTTCTGGTAAAATGCAAACACAAAAAAAGTTTAGTCTGATTTAATTTCAGACAGCAAGAAATATTTTATTAGGTGTATGTAAATATCTGGTTTCAACTTTAAATACAGTTTTCCAATTTTAGTTTTTTAATTAAACGTTAAATTGCATTTTATTACAAAACTCTCCGTTTGCAGGATGTGAAGCAGTCGAACTGAAACACTCACACATTCAGAAGCTTGTCTGGTTCTTCCCGGAGAGCCGGCCGCCGTCTGAGGGATCGGGATGGACTGGGAGTTCGCCACGCTTCGCACCATCAGAGGAGCTGCAGCAAAATAAAGAACAGCAGAAATAAAAGCTTTCAGATACAGACAGAGGCCCGCAGCATCACTGGTCCTACACCTCATCAATCAGTTAGGATGAGGAACTTTTCCAGATATTCTGCTCATATCGCAGATTGCTTTTGCACCTGATAATTTGATAAACTCAGTTTGATTTTGGAACAAAGTTGTAACAAAAATGGAGACGTCTGATGTTAGTGTTTGTCTTTGGCTAAAAACCATCCGTTATTTCTCCCGCTAGTGCGTTTGTTTTACCCAGGATGGAAGGATTTGGAATCCATTTCATTCATAGTTGATTGACACCAAATTGGTCTGACTGACCCTTTGACCTTTAGCTTTCACAAACAGCTCCTAAACAAAGCAGCACAAAGGGAACAGCTTGACCTGGGAGTATTTTTCTGCTTACTGGGTGCGGCGGCGTTCCTCTGTTTGAGGTGGCGGTTCTCGGGACAGTCCCGCCGTACGTGTCCCATGTCCCCGCACTGGAAGCAGCGTCTGTCCTTCGGCTCCCGCTCGTCCTCCTTGGCGTCCTCGTCCTTCTCGTTTTCCTTCTTCTTCACCCTGAAGGACAAAAACGGGAAAACAATAAAAAGCTGCAGCGTGTGAAGGACGGGGCCAAACGCTGCTTTGGCCCCAAATGTCTTCATCATTTCATTTCTTACCCAGAATTGGCCCTAAAACAAAATCACACAAAATCAACTTCAGCTGGAAACAGCAGCTTGTTTTAATCTTGATGAAAAATAAATAAATCCACCTTCAGATTATTTCACTTTCAACAAAACTTTTTTCCCCAAGTAAAATAATGTTCCAGTGGAACTGGCAAAATCAACATTTAAAAAAATATTGACTTCAAACAAGTTCCTAAAATGTTACTTGTAAATTAATTTTGTGTTATTTAATAAGATCTTGAGTTTTTGCATCAGCATCAACACCAGACGGATCAAATTTGTGCCATTCTTGAATTACAGTTGGGGACCGCAAAACAAGCAGTCCAAGGGCCACAAATGGCCCCCGGACCACACTTTGGACCCCCTTCTGCTTTAGCGAAAAGGACAAGCTGACGGAGGACGACCTGCGTCTCTTTGGGCAGTCCTTCATGTAATGTCCGATCTTCCCGCAGATCCGGCAGCAGCGGTCGTTGGGCGCCAGCTCGCCGTCGGTCAGAACCTTCGAGTCGAAGAAGTATTCCTGCAGAGGAAGGCGGCGCAGATTTAACCAGCGGTTCATCGGGACGCCTGAGAGGAAAAGCCGTGGAGGAACGTACCACTTCGGTGCCGGGGATGGGAATGAACGGCGTTCCAAACAGCTTCCGCCCGTTGATGAACGCCTTCATGATGAAGTTCGTCACTGAGGAGCGGAAAAAAATAGCATTTTAGTAATAAATCTGTGCAGAACTACAGTATTAATAAAAACACATGTGATGAATCTGAATTGGTTCAAATTTCATGTGTTTGGAAATGAATGTGGGGTTCCTCAAGGTTCAATCCTCAGTCCACTGACGTACAACAAATAAAATCTGCTTTTTACAACCCAGCGCAGATTAAACCCAGATTACTAAACTCTAAATGCAGAAACGTTGAATAAAACACTGAACTTTATGACACTCTGACAACTAGAACCGATCCTATGCTGGATAGAATCAAAATAAACGTTTTTCTTTTAGTTTAAAGCTTTTCTAGGATCATCTTGTACATGGCGATAAACTTAATTTATCTCCACTGTAACAAAGATAAAATACTACAAAAAATATAAACAAATAATATATAAAAATGGTCAAACATGAACCATATATTCAGTCAAAAACAATAAAAAAGAAAAATGTGCTGCTAAAAATCCGTGAGAACAAATTGGAACCATTAAAGCTGTAAAGTGTAACTTTTATAAAAAGTATTTTCTCCATGTGGCGACAGCTTGATATGAGTCTGATAATCTGTGGAAAGACAAATCGCTCCTCTGTCTTCTCCCAGCGCTAACTAGAAACAACCAATCAGAGCCAGGAGGCGGGGCTTAGCGCTGTCAATCATTCTCCTGTTGTGAATGCTAAAGCTAGTTAGCATGGCCACTGACAACAGTAGATATATGGTTTTTCATTATCAGCCACTAGCATTTTTAGAAGTTTTGTACGCTTGATGAAGTGCAGTTTAATAAACTTGAGTCCCGTATTTTTGTTTTTCAGACTTACTTTTACGCGACACTCCAGCACCAAGATTATGATTCAAGTCAAAAGGATCTGGGAACAGAAAACATGGGAAGGTAAACCGCTGGCAGATCAGCAGCAGGTGAAAGTAAAGCCGCCTCATCACCTTCGATAGCGATGCATTTGCTAGTCCACTGTTTTTCAAACGTGGTGAGGCGTTTGTGCTGCCGGATGCTGATGACGTGCTCCTTGAAGTCGAACTCTTCGGTGTAGAAGCGAAGCAGGCCGAGCCACAGCTCCCCCACCGACTCAGTGTTGGGCTGCCGGTCGGCCAGCCGCTGCCGCTGCGCAACAAGAACAAGTTAGCGTCACAGCAGGGCGGCAGGGCTGGAAACCTGCCGCCATGTCAGCGTTTCACATCAGCCGACATCGATAATTATTGATGAGTGTTTTTGTGTTAAATATCTGAAATGCAGTCAAACTGGTGAAATGTCCTTCCTCTTTTATCCAGTTTTCACTTTATGCTGATGTTTTTTATTTTTAAGCAGAAACTGAAAAAAACCTGAAACTGCTGCTGCGCAAGTTACCCAGCAGGCCGTTGCTAGGCAACCGGAGTTGGAGGGGAACTGCTCTTTAGCCTGCAGGTTGTTGCCAGGCAACCAAAGAGCGAGCGAGCGAGTTAGTGGACTGCACCAACCCAGCTTAGCTAGCTGCCAGAGGTCGAGCAGCTAAAGTCTGTCCTCTGCCTACATCTCCCAGAATGCAGTGCGGTTCCGGATGGAAGCTCAGTGAACATTCTATCCGGTGTCTGTTGTTACCGATTTATTGTCCAGTCCTACATCAGACCGGATGTCAGACAATCCTCACCAGTTTGTCCAGGTCGTCAAAGAAGAAAGCGTTCCAGCCGTCCACCATCCGCTGGGGAACCGTCTGGCCGTCGAAGATCTGGAAAAGGATGGTCGGAGGTCAAAGGTCAGCTCACGTATCAGACCCACAGTCACAGACCAGAGGGTTTTACCTCCTGCAGGACGGGGATGACCGGCGGCTGCCTCTGCTGCAGGAAGTAGAGAACCATCAGGATGTAGGCGTAAGACGAGAGGCTTCCTCTGGAGGCGTCGCCGATGTCGCAGCGCTGAGGAGGCAAAACCCAAAAACTCTGAGAGACAACTAAAGCTAAGCAGAAAAACTGGAGGAACGTCTGAATTTCACATTTTGAAGAGAGCGGCTGTCTGCACTGATCCATTTTTACAGAAATAAACTATGCAGAGGTCCAGGAGCAGCTGATATAATGCAGCATAAACAGCTGAACCGAGTTAAAATGTTTGTTATTCAAGCTTTTTTAATTCAACTTTACATTGAAAGTTTAATTATTTACCAATAATGCAGAAATATTCACTAAATAATGAAACTACTAAGCAAAGTTGCATTAAAACTTACATTAAGTGTCATTATATAAAGAATACTTTGAATTATTTGGTAATTAATGACACTTTTAAAGCCAAGTTGCATTAAACGTGACATTATTTAGTGACAGTCATAAAGTCTTTCATGTCGTGAGGAGATAAATTGTTATCTTTCTTTCTGAATTGATTTAAACAGTTAAGCATCTCTTAACAAACCTTTGCAAACACCTTGATGGTGTATCCCAGGAACTGAACCCGGGGATCCAGCGCTGCGTACGTCGCCAGCATCCTGGTGTTGTGTTGAGCCTAAACAAACAATTCAAAATGGAGACTTCTGAAGAGGAAGGAAGTTCCTGCAGAGGATGCTGGGAAAGCGTCCGTCACTGACCAGCGTGTTGTAGAGGCTGATGTCTCCCTCCAAGCCGCTCTGTCTGTGTTCAAACTTCACTATAGGCACTTTGGCTGTGGTGATGGGCAGGATGTTCCTCAGACCTGAGCAGGAAGGGAAATATGGAACAACATCAGTGGAAAGAGTCATAAAAACCAACCATCCAATCAGCTCAACTCACCTGCATGCTTCTTCAGCACCTTGGCAAGGCCTTCGATGATTTCCTTACAGTTCAGCTTCTGTTGGGAAATGAAAGTTAAAACCAGGTTACGACAGGCGGTCGGCTCGTTTTATAAAACATCTGAACCCGCCCACCTCCGCCGTCTCGTGACCCTCCAGGGTCATGCAGATGTCGAGGTCGCTGTCACGGAAACCAAAGCCGTTCTTGGAAGAGCCGAATAAACAGAGCTGGGCTTTATCTGCAGGAGAGACGCCAGAAAACATCAGAAAAAGGAAGCATTTTACTTTACTTTTATATATTTTATTATTTAATTAAGAACAACGGCGTATCTTGTGGATTTCGCCGTTTCCTCACCGTTGTACTCCTTCCTGATGAAGCGCTCCAGACTGGCCAGGATCTGCTCCCGGTTCTGCTGCTCGATGTGCGACGGCGACAGTTTATCTGCAACAATTCAGTCACACGGAGAGATGAGGCCTTCGCGCGCCGCCGCCGTTAGCATTAGCTGGCAGTACGTACAGTAGCAGAATCTGCAGAGTCCGTCCAGAATGTTCCTGAAGCGCTCGTTCATGGGCGGCAGCGGCTTCAGCTCGATCTTCTTAAAGTCTTCGGGACATTCGTCCTTCAGGTGGCCGTCCCGCTTGCAGATGCTGCAGACAACAGTCGGAGGCTGGAGACACAAAAACCGGACAGAATTTACATATCAAATCTGATTTTATTAAAATGATTTTTGGCTTTCTGTCATTTTATTTAAATCATCCCTTCTGCTAGTTGTACAACGGAGTATCAAGATACGAGTGAAATTGTTTCATTACGAGAACACAATCATAATATTCA